AAAAAAAAAAAAAAAAAGATGAAAAGGCTTTTGGAGGCAGGTGATGTTTGAGATAAAGAATTGGACTAACATTTATTCAATTCCTGCATCTTAAGTTTTTATTTAACACGTAATAAGATCACAACTTTTAAAGTGATATGAAAGTGATATTGGCTTTCATGTCATGGTATCTATACTTCTGTAATATCAAGGAATTGGGTTTCCTTCACTAGAAAATAAAAGAAATTTTACATGGTTGATTTTAATATTATTTTAGTTGTTTCTCTTTGTTCGGAAACTTACATGTATAACAGTGTACATTTCGGATGCATTATGCAATTTGAATTAGATTGAAATGGCAGCGAATGAGCAAGAAATAAGCTGCAACTTTACCCTCATCTCCGTCTGTGTTAAATAAGGATGGCCATCAGGATCACGTGAGAGGTGGACCTTAGATCCCTTAGTCTCTCCAACATTGATCCATTCAGTTCTAACGTCAGGTTCCATCCACATTGCTTCCAAATCTTTAAGATCCACACAGTCATTCCAGTATTTGAAGCTCACACCCGCCATCCTAATTAACATCAACAACACACACCATCCGCATGAAATCTAACATCACAAGAGTCACATTAGGACCCTCACAAAGGAAACAGAGTTTCATTTCGAATGTTATAAAAACTCTACCAAGGATGCTGAAAAAACTCAAAATTAATGAAAGGAGAGAGAGAGAGAGAGAGAGAGAGAGAGAGAGAGAGAGAGAGAGAGAGAGAGAATGTGGATAAACTTGTAGTTATTTCCTCGATTCATGAAGCCTAAAGAGCTGCTATGTGACAAATCCTTGGAAAAACATGGGAAGATTTTTTAAAATTAAGAACTAAAAGGAGTTCAACATATGGTGCATGAGGTACGCCTAACTTGTTCTCTATCAACCATAACTCTTCAAGCAAAACATCTGGTGAACGAACTGCATTATCCAACCTATTTATTTCTATGTTGTCATTTTGGGAAATCATAAATCTCGTGAATCATCGAAACGTAACACCCTATGCATACATCTCCATCACCGCATCATCCTGAGAGCGAATCAAGGCATACACGAAAGATCACAAATTGATGAAGACATTATCTTTCTCTAATGGGCTTCAGATTTTTCCAACAAATATAAGAACCAGATAAGGAAAATTCTCCCATATCTTTCCTGCGTGTGACCTAACAACATTCGCCAAAGCAGCTACAAGGCCAGCATGCCTCCGAAATTCGCACAATACAAATAATAATCGAATGAACTAATAAAGAGATAACTAAGATAAACACGACAAATTGAAAAAGACATAAAGCACATAATCAATCTGTGAGATAAAACACATAGAATAGCCATTTCTAACGTGAAAACTTCCCGTTTATAAATAGATTTGGGAAAATACAATTTGCACGAAATCCTCTTACATTTATAAATATATAACTGATAATCAAAAAAATGCTAAACTGATCGAACCAGAAACACGCACACACACACACACACGTACCTGGAGATGAAGGCGTAAACAAGAAGGGGGGGTATGGGATAAAATTCCCTGCTGCAAATGTTGAAGATTACGGGGATGAATGAATGAATTAATGATGAATGAATGAATGAAATGAATGAGAGATGGGCTATTTGATTTCTGCTCTGGCCAGAAGGCCTCGCGCGAAGAAAAAGGAAACATTTGAGGTAATGTATCAATTGCTCAAATTTGAAATATTTGTCACCGAGAAAATGATGGTTAGTTTGCTACGAAAGAAACAAAATTTGCCCCATTTTTTCCCTCCATTAGCAATGTGAACTACTTGTTGGGTAAAACAAAAAACGCATAGTTCGACCGGTATTGCCTCCGTCTCCGGGCACCGGTCAACTACAACCCAAACTTACTATTCTCACCAATAAAATAAATTAGGGTTAAATAACAAACAAACTAGGATTTCTTTAATCAAAGATTTCTTTCCAAAACATAAGAAAATAAAATAAGGTGCAATTGTAACCAAAAAAATGCACATTTATACTAAAAAGAACTTACACATCTTTGGTACACATCCAATGTGAGACAAACTTAATAAAAAAATTAACAATTCTCCACTTTGACTAATTTTGCTCCCAATCCAACTCCACTGCTGGCGGTGCCTCCAAATGTGTCTCGACGCCAACTCATATATGCATAACGTTGGTCAAGTCTAAATAATGTTTAAACTTGACTGTTGTCACTATCTTGGTCATCATATCTGCATGATTCTCCGTTGTCTTGATCTTCTTCAATACAACAGTTCTATCTTCTAGAATCTCCAGCACAAAGTGATAGCGAACATCAATATGTTTCGTTCTTGCATAAAATACTTGATTTTTCGCAAAGTGAATAGCACTCTGACTGTCACAATGCACTAAGGCATGCTTTCGGCCGACTCCCAAGTTTTCAAGCAAACTTTGAAGTCATATAGCCTCCTTCGCAACTTCAATAACCGCCATATATTATGCCTCTGTTGTAGACAAAGCAACTGTTGATTGTAAAGTAGATTTCCAACTGACTGGAGTTTTTGCAAAAGTGAATAGATATCCAGTAGTTGATCTTCGTTTATCCAGAAAGCGCCCGTGTAGTTAGAATCACAATATCCAACTACACACTAACCAAGTTCATTGTGCTCATAAACTAATCCAACATCTATAGTACTATAATGTACCCTAAAATCCATTCACAGCTTGCTAATGACCTTTACCATGGTCATGCATATACATGCTAACAACACCAAGTGCTTGTGAAATGTTGGGTCTTGTACACACCATCACATACATCACACTGCCAATTGTATTCACACATGGAACTCTAGCCATGTACTCTAGTTCTTCATCACAGTTTGGCAATAAATGAGCACTTAACTTAAAATGAGGGGCAAGTGGTGTATTTACATACTTATTCAGATATTGCTTCTGAGTCAAACAAAGTTTGTCTCTCATTCTGTCTCTGCTTATCTCCATCCCGAGTATTGCATTCCCTCAAGTCTTTTATCTCAAACTCTTGATTCAACTCAGCCTCCAGATGATCAATAAGTAAATAAAAAAAAAAGACATTAGTTTAATCAGAAACTTATTACATAATAATTAAGTGAAAGAAAGACTTTAACTTAATTTATTTTGCATGTCTAAGAGAAAAACTATCAATGATGTAGGATGTAAAGTCGGTATATATTGAAAGAGGATGATTAAGTGGAAAGTTAACTTTATGTTTAAATATTTTAACTTACTTATAAAGGAAATTTTCAAATGAAGCTGAAAATTTGCTTTTTATCCTTTATTAAAATTGTATGCCTAAATATTTTTCTACTTTTTTTGGCTTCTGAATGTGCATTTTAATTACTAAAACTGTAGGCCAAAATATTATCCACTTTTTGGTACAATTTATGTATCCTATTTTTTTTTTTATTTTTTTTTTGGGAAAACATATAGGTATCAATAAATTTGTGTAGAGATTCAAATATATTTGAAAATGAATGACAATAATTTTTTATATTACGTTTTTCACAATAAATATTAAAATTCGAAATTAGTCATTTGCATCTGTAACGCTCAGAATATTATTTATTATTTATGGAGCTCGACTTTATTTCTAGAAATATTAAGGGGGTGATTGTTTATGGATTCAACTAGTTTTTATTTGGTTTGTTTTTTAACTATAGTTAATTTTGAAAAAAGTTGGTATAGTTAGTTGTTAGTGGATATATTAAAATAATATTTAAATATAATAATTAAATTGATTTGATGTAAAGTATGAGAAAAATGATTGGAAGTGATGGTTTGTTAAAATTATGTGAGTGGATGAATAGTGAATTAAAGTTAATGTGATGTGTAAGAATGATTGACTAATATTTCTTAATTATATTGATAATAAAAGAGATAGTGGGGTTGAGTTAAATTTGAGTTTCGATTGGTTTTTTTACTGTACAAACTATAAACAATCGCCCCATAAGTTTTCTAATTTGATGCATTTATTATTATTATTGCATTAAATTGAATAATTAGTATTAAGTCTAAGCCATGGAGAATTTATTTGATTTTTAACAAGTAAAGTCGGATTTATTTAGCCCAAGTATCGGTTCTAATTTTAAAACCGAGTCTTGGATAAATCGGAAATATTATTAAAGCGGACCGAAGTCGGGTAATTAATTTATTCGAGCCTAATAGTTTTCGAGCGAGTCCAATTATTTTAGCCGGCCCATTTAAGTTAATCGAGCCTGTGTTCGATTTTATTTCAGCCCTTTTCATTTTAGTAAATCGAACCCATGTTCGATTTTAATTTAGTCGATTTTAAAAATCGAGCCTATATTCGATTTTTAAACCATCAACAGCCTCTTCTTTCTCACTTCTTTCCTCTTTTTTTTTTTATCTTCATTCTTTCTTTCTCTCCACTATGGCTCCAACAATTGTATTCTTTTTCTAAGTTCATCGTTCTCAAGACAAATCATGGCACACAACCGGTTCTTAAACGTTCCCTGTACATGAAAGAAAAAAATTAAAGGAAAACGTAAATTAAAGATACTTCTACCTATGAAAATATATTAATGCTAAAACATAAATTCTCGACAAAAATTAAAGGAAAATCTGGGTTTCCACAAACGTACGCTCCTCCAAAACAGGCGATATCGAATGCACCTGGAAAGCAAATCATAATGATTTATTTACAATATCGATTAACCAGAAAAAAAAAAAAGAACAACAAAACACATAATACTATAAGATTATATAAATTACCTTCTGCCTCATTATTTTCTTCAAGAATTGTAAAGACCCTTCCAATGTAGACGACAACGTGCTCCCCGTCCATCGAAATAGACGGGGAATCACCTCGAGCATCGACTGCTTGCCTAAAGAAGGGACACGCTCGTAGAACCGAGCCTACGCATACACATGATTTCAAAATTACACAATTTCACAATTTAATATTATTATATTAAGACATTGAAACAAATATATACATACAATCAATCCCACTACACATCCATCGAAGTAGGATCTGTTGCTCGATTGGGAATGGCGAACTAGCTCGCCAACCAAGAATTTGTGAGTAGCATCTCTCCATGCGTACTCACAAATTCGACCGACATCCTCCACATACAGATAAACAAGCCTTGGAATTGAATGCTTGAACAAGGGAACAAAATGCAGCCAAACACAAACAAAGTGTACATCCGGATGAAGTCGTCAACACGACCTTCATCCGCAGCATACTTACCTAATAGCTCTATGACATTTTTTCTTTTCAAAAACTTCTTATCTACTCGACCCCAGGCATCGAACAGGGCTTTCGACTCTATACTAAGGTCTAAGTCTACGCTTAGACTGCCCTGTCTTAGCCCCGTTGTTATACAAAACTCGGTTGGGTTAAAATTCAAAACCAACTTATCACCAACAACAAACGCATTTAAATCTACCCTGTACGTGCTAACTAGAGCGTCAACTCTACTATGTGAAACTGCTAAATCGGGCATATTCACAAAAAAAAGGACTATTTTCAAGAGCCTCTTTGTGCTTGTCCGAGAGCACAACAACCGTCATGTTCATCACATCTTTGGAGTATGAAGGGACACACCTACATCTTAGTTCTGTGCTATATCACAAACAAATAAAACGAAGACGATTTTCAAACATAGGAAACAGATACAAACAACGATAGCTGAAAACATTTCAACAATAACAACACCTCATTCAAATTGATATAAAACACCAAACAACACCTTAACCCTAATTGATATTCAAATTGATATAAAACACCAAACAATATCTAATCCCACATTGATATTCGAATTAATATAAAACACCAAACAACACCTCAGCCCTAATTCATATAAAACACTAACATCAACATCATCAATTTCCCTAATTTAAAGTGTTAGTGTTATGTACTAAAACCTTGGCTTTGGATGTATCACACTTTTACCCTTTATGAATGAAAATCATGTTAGATTAAACAAGTTCTACGTTCTGTTGTTTTGCATTAAATAGTGTGGGTCGTCAGGCGAACCGATGATTATTCTATTAGTTAACGAAACAAGAATAATGGTTCACAATCTAGATGGACATGAACACCCCATCGTGAACGGTTGTAGTGTTTACAGTTTGTCTTGACTGATTAGTTGCACTAGTACATTTATGTATTGAACAAGATTCCAAAGAGGAGCAGTTCGTTTTATACTGATCGTCGTAAACGAACTAGGCCTCGGTTAATTACTGCGTTCTCTTAACCCATAAGATATTAAATAGACATATATATGCAGTAATTATTACTTTGATTCACACGGGTGAGGTTTAGTGAACTGGACCAATAGACCCACTGTCTTGTGTAATATTGTTGTTTGTATGATGTGCTATTAGGATATTTACGGTCACCATGTACGCTTAGTTTGATGATGTCCCCGGAGTGAGTTTGAAGATTATTATGCTAAACCCTGCAGGTAAATTTAATTACGACATAGTAAGAATGTCGTGAACGAGCGCTAGCTTCGGCGAAATAAAAATAAATAAATTAATTCTTAATTGTCAGTAATCGAATTAATTAATGGACATATATCTTAAACATGAAGAGATAATTCGAGTAATTATTATTGGAGTCTCAATTGTAATTTGGGCTAGGAAAAGAGAGTGCAATAATATTATGTTGGTGGCCCATTAATATTATTTAATTAACTAGAATAGTGAGTTTGACCCACCAGTATTTTAATTAATTAAGGAGCCCTATTCCTAATCTCCTAAGGGTCCATAATGTAGCTATATATATACATCATTAAGCTCATGTGAAGAGAAGAGTTGGAACATTATTCCACACATGTAATTTCGGTCGTCCGCCCCTCTCTCTCTCTCTCTCTCTGAGTTCCCAATTCGAGTTTTATATTCTT